GGAGGAATCTACATCTTCAGAAATATGTGAGATCTATCTATTTCTAGAAAAACTGTTCTTTATATTGTAGCTAAATCATTAACTGCAAAGATAAACAATACAAAGCATGAGGAAATCAGATTAAAAATAGCACTAGGAGTTCTAGCTGCCATTTCCTCTTCCATAGGTACAATATTACAAAACTTTCAATAGCACACCTTTCAATATATTAAGCATCATATGAAGCAGCGGACATGCATGAAAGGCCAAATGTGTAAATTAAATAGAACTTATCAAGTGAAGCACTTACCCCAAATCATTTAGTGCAAGCGCAACTGCACAAAAATTTGGAACACCACTTCTCATGACCTGTTAAAGTACATGTTATAGAAGGTCAACATCAACAAGAAAGTTGATAGGATGCCAAAGCAGAATGTAATCCAAGAACAGAGTGGAAATGCACCATAATACAAATTATAAAATTAATTCAAAATAATCCTATAAGCTGAAGTTTAGGCCTCAGCTGATAACTGGATACCATGAATATACTGTTCTCTTCCAAGTAAGTTTCCTTAGTTTAAGATACTGACGCAACTTAAATTTGTGCTTTACCAAGAACTTGTGCTCTTTCAACTACACATCCTTAGTTTATAGATAAGAAGGCCAAATCCTAAACAAAAAACAAAGTAAAGCAGTGACATAAGAAATTTAAAGGTGCACTTACATCATAAGTGTCTACAAGGGCCAAAAAACTTCCAGGAAAGGCAAGCCCATATGAGGTGAAAGCTGCTAATTCACTTTGGTTTGTCTCACTGAAAATTCCACCTAATAAGCGTGACCCCTGAAGATAACACAGTCATCATAACAATCACATCCAAGCTCAAGAGGAAGAGAAGAAGCATCAACCACCTTCATCAACTTAAATTTTGATGATTATCAAGATTTGAGAGTTGCTCAATTTTGATAGAGTATCAATCGCTTGCAACCTCTGATAGAGGAAGGGAACAGGAAAATAAGGGAGTACGTTCAACTATATTAGAAGGATTTAAATAAAGATCTGTTCAGGAACCACGAAAATGCCCAGATAATACTCAGAAGATTTTGTTTTGTTTTGTTTTGTTTTTCAGCTTCATTATGGGAGCGACAAGAGAAATCTGCAATGGATGAAATTGTCTCCATGTAATCACTCATATTATAATAATATTTATTGAGTTTTGTTATTAATTCTGATACCTAACTTAATACTCAGAAGATTTTGTTTTGTTTTGTTTTGTTTTTCAGCTTCATTATGGGAGTGACAAGAGAAATCTGCAATGGATGAAATTGTCTCCATGTAATCACTCATATTATAATAATATTTATTGAGTTTTGTTATTAATTCTGATACCTAACTTGTTTTGAAAGTAGATAATTCGAATGAGAATGGGAGGGATGAAGGGGCACGACCTAGAACGATGTGCTACCACTTATTGTACAGACACTTGAAATGGCATGTGGACTAAACTCACTCAAGTTCAACAGTAATTTCTCCAAAAAGTTTCTTTCAAATGGGAATCACACATTGGGGATCACAAGTTAGCAATTAGCCACTTATTTAATCAACTGCTCCCCACTTCAAGCTACCACTTAGGTTAAGGTGCATTCACTTCACAAGATCAGAAAAGACAACTTATTACCCTTGCGCGGCGGGCCTACACCGATAATGAGTGAAAAGCATTTACAGCCAAACAACCATCTGAATTGGATAAACCCCCGACACTTCTTATATTAATCAAATTTTGAGTGATCATAGAAGATAGAAGCCCCAGAGTAGATTAAAATGCAAAGTAAAAAGGTGAAGCCCAAATAAAGGATACTTGATAGTAAGGGACACATGTCAAAACGCAAAAGCAGAATGAAATGGAAAATTTAGAACAAAATCTGATGACTGAAGATGGAAGATAACAATAAGCCAACAGGGACATAGCAGTTAAATTAAGTGGGTGAAATAATACCTTTAATTTATTTAGCCACGTCTTTACCAGACTAACAAAATCCTTACAAACACTAGAGCCAACATGATGTTTAAGTGATTTATCTGTGATCTCGTCTGGGCTCTGCATAATATCAGATTAAATTAGATAACAGATAACTTCTAGCCAGGGTGAGATATAGAGCAAAATATTATAAGTATTGAGCATCTAGAGACCATTATAATCCATATAGTCTGTATTTTAGTTGTGTTTATCTTCATTATGAACAAGACGAACCAGACATAACCAATCAATTGAAAGAACCAAACCTTGAAATTAGAAACCACGTATGTCGAAAACCTGGCCTCACTAGTCGACAGCTAACAACTCACTTGCCAAGAAGTGCTAAAGCCAGAAATGAAGATTGCTTTACCATATGGAAAACAAGAAGCACATACGTGGGAATTCTAATTCACATAAAACAGATTTCACTTCAACTTAATGTAAAGATGCTCGAATATCTCATTGTCAAGCAACAATCCATGACTAAGATTATCAAGTGATGCAAGTATATGTCACTGTAAGTATACTTGTTCCCCGAGAAATCTTTGTCTGGCAGCCCCTTCCAACAATCAAGGGCACTATTACAGAGTTCACATCAAAATCAATTATACGTCAATCCCAAGCCTCTATTACAGTTTTCAAGAAAAAGAAATTTTAGCAACCAAAATCAATTATTTCCCAATATCCAAATCAGACTTCTCCTATGACTATCCCAGAAGTGTTACAGAATAAATGGTTTTGTGTGCATCTAAATTAACTAGGAAGAATCTAGATGATGACCTGCATCTACGGAAATAACAGTAACGGTGATGATAATAATAATTTAAGATGTGGAATGAAGGCAAACTAGCATTCATGGAAAAGGACAAAGATGAAAGTAAAAGATTTAATGTTCTAAAACACCTTTCAGTTATGCTCCTTATAAAAGGCCAAGTCTCTAAGCAAATATCATTGTGAGTTGTGTGTGACAAACAAACTTACGAAACACTTACACACTAAACATACCATTTATATTACACAGAAGGCAAAGTTGTCGCAAAGGTTCCACCTACCAGAAATGAGCTAACGAAGGCATGGGAATGTGTTCCACGCAGTGGGATTCCAAATAACTTCCCAGCTGCCACATTGCTGTCAAACAAAGTTTCCAAGGGAGATATGATCTTCATGGCTAAATTTATATGATAAAAAATTTAAATCTCAAAAAAAAAGGAAACAAGTATCACAATGTTCTGGGTTTCACATTCTTCCTATTAAAACATTTTTTTTTAAAAAGCTAAAAAAAAGAACATTAAATTGCAGCAAATACAACAGTTGAAGATAATCTCAGCAGTTAGAGTGCTTATCAAGAGAATTTATTCATCTTATTAATCAAAGCACATCGTGAAAGCAAAAGGTAAATGAAAACTTATGTTAGAATGATCTCAACTAATGTCATCCACCCATAACAAGAGCTAACATGATGTTCCTTTTGCACTTGACTCTCCGATGTACAACAACAACAACAACCCAGTATAATCCCACTAGTGGGGTCTGGGGAGGGTAGTGTGTACGCAGACCTTACCCCTACCCTAGGATAGAGAGGTTATTTCCGATAGACCCTCGGCTCCCTCCCTCCAAGAACTCCCAACCTTGCTCTTGGGGTGACTCGAACTCACAACATCTTGGTTGGAAGTGGAGGGTGCTCACCACTAGAGCAACCCACTCTTGTCATCCTTTTTTAGAAAATGTTCAATTTTATTTCTGGAAGAGCTAACACAATTCCTTTACCTATTAAAATAAATTTTGGAACTTAATAGCTTTCGATTTTTTTCTAATAAAAAAAATTAACGAGGATGCTGACTTCTTATATATTGTGTGAGCTTGCTCTCTTGCTGGTTCATTACCCCAATAAAAAAGGAGGGTTACAGTAGGCTAGCAGTCACCTTATAACAAGTCAATTTATGATGGATCCTCACTATACATATGAGCTTAAATGAGCGACAAAGACAATGAGGATTCATATAGCCGAGCCCAACTTGCTTGGGGTTGAGACCTAGTTGTTGCTGTTGTTGTTGCTGATGGTGACTTCCTATGAACTGCTTTTTCAGAAATCTGGCAGTCGAGAGCGTTCTCAATTATACCAGTTACAGTGGCACATTTGCAATGTTATGACTGGTTGTAAGATTCTTAAATTTTTTATTCAAAATTAAAATTTAAAAAAAAAAAAAAAGGATGTCCAGAATGAATTCAAAAACTGCATCTCACTTAGAAAGAAGAATAGATAGTGGCACTATTTCATGAAAGCAGATTACAACAGGAGACTTGTGTACGGAATCACCTTGTTGCATCAAATCCTCCCATGTAGCAATATTTCGAAGCTGATATACCACCATCAGGACCCTACTTATGAAGAAGCAAAGATCACAGCAAAATTTGTAAGAGAGACCTTCCAATTTCAAGTTATCAGAAAGAAATATCAAAAATAAAAAGACCTGTGCTCTTCGAAGCCCAAATTCCAGCAGCAGCTTGGACTTTCCAGCAACAAAACGATGTCTTGCAGCATTAGTAGTGACTAGCGATGCATAGTTTATGAGGTTGACAAAAGCAGTTTCCAGTAGTTGAACCACCTTTTGAGATTCAAAGCAATCACCAGGCACATTAAAATTGGACATAAATTTGAGAAAATGTATGGAACATAATTACTGAGAACAATGCATCCTTCACATTCAAGCATGAATAAAAGGATAATTTAATCAATACTCACAGCAATTGGCCCTTCAATCCTCATCAGCGGTACCTTGGGAAAGACAACTGATCCTTCAGGTATAGAATATATCTCAACATCTGAACAGTTAATTCCTCGAAGGTAGTCATAGAAGGCATCCTACAAAAGCCAATCACAGATGCTTATTACTCATGCACTTAAAACTATAGGTATGTCAAATTATTCTTTAAGAGGTCTTTTGGTTTAGAAATAAGTTATGTGTGGATTGTAATACAGGGCATTAATAATGCAGGGATTAGTAATACAGTGATTGTAATGCACAGATTAAACAACATCAAAAGAGCAAATGCAAGATTATAAGTAAGACTGTTTTTGCCAAAACTATCGAGATACACTTCGATATGTTTCCAAAACAACATCTGGAATAGAAGTAACAATTCGAATGGGCCACCAGTTCACTCATAGCCATTCATGCTTATAGTAATCTCATTAATCACCCGGGTTTTACACGAATGGAGATAAACATATTTCACTAAGGTATCATGAAGCAGGAAAATCATTAATCCTCCGGAATTCATGCACAAGTTTCCAATAATGACATATAAAAAAAATAAAAACAACTATTAACCCTAAAAGGAAAAAAGGATACAGGCATATTTATGTCACTAGTCAAAAATAACTTTTACACACATTAAAGCTGCTTATTTACTTTGTCAATAATGAACCTACCTCACACGTTGGGGGCAATGATGACCTGATAAAAGTTATCTCGTCCTCAGCTAATTTGAAATGAGCAATAAACTTTATGCATTCTTCTAACCCAGCGAAAATTGTGTATTCACCACCAAACGGATTCTTCCGAAAATACAAGTCAAACCTGAAATATTCAATCAGATGGGAATAAGTCATTTTGTAGCTCAGTTGTTCTTAGATGAAAAGACATTTGCTCGACAAAAAAAATAAGAATGTTAGTGTTGTAGAAATCAGTGTTATCAAAGGCGAAAAGTGCAAAAAAGCTCTAAGGTCCGTTGGGGCTTTAAGCGCAAAGCGCAACTAAAGCGTGAGCTTTAATGGAAAAAGGCACAACCGAAGAAAATGTAAAAATATGTATATGTAGTCCAAGACTAATAATTATAAGTATGAATAACAAATATATGGACAAAGAAATTGAAAAACAATTACGATAAAGCAAAATATCAGTTGTTTAATGTCGCCTTTTCAGGATTATATTCATTGGCAAAGACAAGTATGCCTTAGAGCCTTGATGCGACACTAAAGCGCCCACAAAGCGAGGCGAAGCGCTAAACGTGTTTTGAGCCTTGCTTCAGGGCTTAAGCGCGCCTTTGACAACACTGGTAGAAATTAAAAATAAGCAAATAATGGTGTCCCTCTTCTAACAGTGTTGTTCACGACTTCACTCATATAAATATGGTGGAGCAAGCAGAGATCCTGAGTTCGAATCTGAATATCATCCATTACTCCAAACGCTTTCACATGTTAGGGAGAAGCAAGAATTAGACCATACGTAAGAAGGCATGTTGCCCACATAAAATTAATAAATAAATGTTTCCTGTTTTTTTCTTTTCAATAAGGCATTGAGATAAATAAACAGTTAGAGGTGTCATCTAACTGAAAAAAAGAACTCATAGAAACATTTATGAGGTGTCATCTTCAATCGAGACAATGATCAATAACAATTTTACAGTTTGATCAACAATCCAAATCAATAATTTAATGCCAGAATTGAAACTCAATAATTGTCATTAATTCATTTTTTTTTTTGAACACCAAGAAATTCTTGAGGGCCAATTGCGCTGAGGCAGAGCCAAAAACTCTGACAAGGGGATTCAGAAAAATCCAGATATACCACACCTAGGATCTGAACCTGCATTTCTCTTATCTTCAGGGATTAAAAATTTTATATACACATAAAAAGAATAATTTTCACCATATTGCTCTGTATAACTTTCTGATTAAGGGGATTCAACCGAACCCCTTCCATGCATGTGGTTCCGCCACTGCGCCAGTGGCGCATGGTTCGAACCTCGTGGATAATTGTCATTAATTCATTATATCAAACACATCAAATGCATGGTAAATAAAGAAATGCAACATAAAATTAAGAGGCATTTATGTGAAAATGGGAAATGCAGGCACTCACACGGCTCGTTCATCGTGTTTTCCAGCTTTCCAATAAGAATAGGCCATAGTAAACTGATAAAGATCTGTTAAAAGAGGTGTCACCATTGGATTGGTCGGCCCACTAATAACCGCACACTTATTAGGCTGTGTTTGTTCTTTCTTCAACCCATTAGCTACTGCAGCCGCCATGATTGAATCTCCTCTACGGAGTCCTACGATTAGTAATTTATAGACGAAGGAAGCGAAAAGGGACAACCTTGTAGAACACGGTTTCGATGGAATAAAAACAAAATTGTTCTCTGGTACAACGTTAACAACTAAGTGGAGATTATTTTGTAAACTTACGATCGATGAGAGTTAATCTTTTGGCCTTTAAATGTCACCAAACAATTCCGTGCAGGTGCAGGTGCCGGTGCCGGTGCCTGCCGCTTCTTCCCTGCTGCAAGAAACAGAGGAAGAGAGGAAGATGGAGGCCCAGCTGTTTGATATAAGTTTCAGTTTTCGGCCTTTGATGTCACCAAATGCTACACTTCTCGCTTCTGGCTCCTATCTAACTGTTTGGGTTATTTTCACGTAAGTGACGGATCTACAATTTTAAACAAGTGAACGTAAGATTTTTCTTTTTCTTTTTGGGTAACAATAGACAACTAGACACGATAGTCTTAATTTGTGTGCTAGTATTTTTTTTTTTTTAATATCTCTTACTGTATTTTTTTCTATATTGTTGTTATTTGCATTACTTGGAGACGAGAGTGTATCAAAACAATCTCTCTACCTACATAAGGTAGGGATAAGAATGCGTATTACCCTCCTCAGACCCCCTATTTGTGGGATACAATAGTTTTGTTATTGTTGTATTTTTTTTATATTTCGAAATAATTTTATTTAAAATTTTTTATTTTACTCTTAATGAAATAATTTATAATTACACAAAAATTTATGACTTGTTTTATATTACAAGTTTTAAAACTCTTTCTTTATTTTTTTGAACTTTATGCTAGCCAAATTGGATCACATCGAGACAGATGGAGTGATAATTTTCAACTATAGACATAGTTCAAATGGAAATAATGTATCAGTTGAGCTCTAACTAGTCTCGGAGGATTAAACACTTTATGTGATAAAATATGGGTATAACTTGTGGCTAGGGATGAAAGCTTACCAAGATTAATAATAACATACCAGTATAATTTCATAAGTGGGGTTTGGGAAGGATAGTATATGCACAGACCTTACTCCTACCTGGCGAGATAGAGAGGCTATTTCCGATAGACCCTCGGCTCAATATAAGGTGAAAAGAGAGAGAAGGGAAGACGAGAGGAAAGAGGAAGAAGAAAGAAAGAATAGGGGGACAAAGAACGATAAGGAAAAGGAGAAAAGGACAACAACGACAACAACAACAAAAAAAATAACAAGTAAAAGAAAAAGTATCATCAAATAGTAACAAACTGGAAAATACGATACACTGAGCAAACAAAACAATAAGCAAATACTACGGGTCAAAGAATACGAAAAAAAAATAATAATACTACTAAAAAAGAATGGGGAACTCTCGATTACCTACTAGCATTTTACTCTAATCCTCGACCTCCACACCCTTCTATCCTGGGTCATGTCCTCAGTAAGCTGAAGTAGCGTCATGTCCTGCCTAATCACCAACCAAAATTGAATATAAATAAAAAAAATTATATAGAATAGTAAAATAATTAAATCGCTCCGCCTTTAATTAGAGATAAAATGGATGGAAAACATTCCATGGACCTATATTATAGGTATCCCATACCAATGAAATTTATTCCACAAAAATCTAGATTAATTGAATTTTAAATAGGAGATGGTCATGGATTCAGTGATTCAGTCCAATGTTAATCTCGGGGTCCGAGGGATTAGTGGATATTGTTATTTGTTTGGAGAATAAAGAAAGACCAAAGCCTGTCCCTTTCACTAATGACCGATCGAGACTCGTGGATCTACTTCTTCCAATTGCCACTGGACATTTCTTAATTCAACTAACACCAGTTATTCTTTCTTCTTTTTTTCCTTTTTTCTTTTGTGTGTGTGTGTGTTTTGCGTCTGTAATGTGCAATAAGAGGCCAAGGAGAAATGGACGGTTGCCCTTCCAGTACGCTAGTAGCCAACAACATGCACAAGGTTTAGTTGATAACTATGACTAAACAAAGTACAATAAAATTTGGTTTTCCTTTTTGGCTGTGAAAAAGTCTCTTCTTATCTCCTTTTGTGGGGCTACTGTTAAAGATTACATGTACTACTATATGTTTTGGAATAACAGTCAAAACAATATTCACACAATGAAATTTTTTAAAAAGTTTAAGTAGTATACTCAGCAAGTAACCTTTTTAAATATTAATATCTTTAAGATCACTTGATAACAAAGAACTTTTTTATACTACTAGTTTTAGAGAACGGGCTTTACACGTGTAAATAGCGTCTGTTAGCGAGAAAATGATATACGATGAGAATAAACTATGTCTAATAGCAATTAATGTTCAAATAGATTCAACACACAATTGCAATGAAAAAATAAGTGTAAAACATTGATGTAATAAGTAAATCCAAATATGTTAAATATCTTCTAAATATGCAAACGTCAATACTTCGATTAATTAAGGTAGTGATATAACACTTGTATGCATTAAAATAGTAATATATATATATATATATACCTACTTTCTCCACATCATACACAAGAATACGGAAAGTTATGAAAGAAACAATGAGCTATCAACGCAAAAATAATCATGAGCTATATTAAATTAATTCAAATTGCGGTTATTATTCTTTAATGTAGTATCTTCTTTTTCTCCAAGCTTCTTGGCTTTATTTTGGTTATAGTTTTTCAGGCCCCATTAGTTTGCATATGCAGTTAGTTTTTTCCTCTTTACTGGCTATTGTTTTAAGCCCTACCTAAGTATTTTCCTCTTTTTACTATCTTAATAATCATAGTACTTGAAGAAAATATCTCCATTACTGAAAGTCCTAAACCCATCATCGCACAACATAGTCTTTACATAAGCATCAATTCTACTTAGATCCTCGTGTCCATAGATAAGAGATCTTAACAATTTTTTTTCTCGGTAATCTTTGCTAGGCAATCTCTTAGATGATTTGGGATATCAAAATTCTAGTAACAAAAAAAATAAGAATAAAGCAAAAGCAAAAGAGAATCACATATTGAATACGTTGCTATGGTGCTACGAGGATAATGAGTGAAATCATATTAGCATTTTTTACTCAAAAGGTGTATTTACAATAAACTTCTATTAACTTGCAATAGTATTGTCTAAAAACTAAATTTTCATCACTGAATTTTGCCAATAACTACTCCTTGAAAAATCACCGAAGATAACTAAAACTATATGATAAATTTATAGAAATTATAGTTTAATGGTTATGTCCCCGATCTCAAGATTTTCAATTTTCTTTTCATTTCTAGTCTCTTATCATTTTTTTTTGTCTCTTCTTCTTAGTAAAAATTATATCAATCGACCAGCTATCAAGGGTGGTAATTGAAATCTAATCTAAAAGGCCACCAACGAATTAATGTAGTTCTAAACCCTATCAAAAGTTAGAAAAATGTAGTTCAGAATCGTATCAAAAGTTTAAAATCCTTCAAGTTATTTTTCATAAGGACACTGCTTGCTTCTTCCTACCCTTATTTGCTTTTCAACATCTGTATCTTAAAGTATAAGCGAGTCAGTGTTCCAGCTCCCGTCAATGCAACAAAATTCTCCAAAACCCTATTGATAGATAGGATTAAACACCAACATAAAGAAGAAAATAGTGTTAGAAAACTACGAACCGCAATTAAAGAAGAACTGCTATCTAAATAAATCAACCTCAAAAATAAATTATGGAATTATTATTTTTATGAAATATTACTAACCTGTTGCGTCAAGCTGTTAATCTGCAACTTATGCACATTTGCAGCAATAATTCATTACTTACATATATGTCTTGCAGTTTTCAAACTAGAGTTTAATAGGTTCCAAATTATGAGAGAGAGAAAAACGACTTCTAAATCGAAAAGGAACAAAGAGAAGTCTCCATGTGAATTTAAAGTTTAGTAGGTTTCAAATTATGAAAAAAAAGGTCTCCTAAACCTAGAAGAATAGAAAGAAGTACTAAATATTAGGATTTATTAAATATTTATTTCTAAATATTAAAGAAATAATTAAATTACTATTTGTGAAATCAAGTTTTGAAGGGTATAAAAGTCGAACAACAGTTCGATAGAGCCTTCGTGCTTTTAATATAGTATAGATAAGTGTGTATAACTTAAACTCCATTTTAAAATAAATTTTATATGAGATGCACTACATTATGTGTGAGTTATCGCATAAATAGAATGGATATTTTTAGTTGATAGTAAATTTATCCTATTTATCGTACTAGTACCGGAAGAAGAACCGTACAAATGACATTGTGTAATCAACGAATAACAATTAACTTATCCAAATCCAAAAGCACCTTTTTTTAAATAAAAAAAAGTACTTTTTTCAAAGTTGAAGTATTTGGCCAAACTTTTTGAAAAAATATATATTTTTGAGCAGAATCAGAAGCAGTTTTGGAGAAGCATCAAAAAGTAATTTCTTTCCAAAAACACTTTTGAGAAAAATACACTTAGAAGCGGTTTTAAAAAGATTGGTCAAATACTAATTGCTGCTCAGAAGTGCTTTTCAAATTAATTAGCCAAACACAAACTGATTCTCACCAAAAATACTTTTGAAAATAACACTTTTGAGAAAAAATACTTCTCAGCTGATTTTTATAACTTAGGCCAAACAAGCTATTAAATGAAGAGTTAATACTAGACGTTTACTCTTCTCTATATAAAGGAAGGAGACTTTTGTTGCTTTTTAAGGGGGAAAATAAACTACTCTAAATTGAATATCTAGTACCACTAGTCTCATAGTACAACATAGATCTGCCCAATTCACTTAAGTTAATAGAGTTCATCAATGCATCTACCAAAATGACTATTTCTTCAAATGCTTGTGAAATAAAGTTCTTTTCAACCCTGAAAAAGAAAATACTTTCTATATTCCGTAGGACTCAGTGATCAGATTTGAGAAAAAACTCACAAGTCTGATACATATGCTAGTCTGGAAGATAGAATAAAAACCTGTTATAGTTTGATTAAACTACAAAATATACTGGTAATGTAAAAAACACCTTTATACTGGTAGTAGTGTATATAACTTGATTCCTTACTGGCACAATCTATTCTTTTAGTTTAATTTACATGCATGGTTATTTGCAAAAGATTTGCAGGAAGGGAGGGAGGAGAGCAAGATAGAGTGAAAAATGGTCAAATAGGTTTTAGGGACAAAACAAGAAAATCTATGTGGTTTACTTGTATGTATATATACATTTTTATTAGTTTCTTTTGCATGCATGTATATACTTATAAAGACATATATAGGTAGAAATTCAAATATCCATATTCACATATTCATTCAATTCAAGCACACATTCTTTAATGCAAAAAGATTGGCAAGTAAATTAAAGCAACTGAAATCCCCATAAGTATTTAATATTAATACTTGAGCAAAAACTGGCATCTCAAAGGTCCCAGCTAGCACCAACTTAATACTGAAAATCCACAAAAACAGCAAACTGGAAAAGCCCAAAACACCATTGTTCAAGCTAGAACTGAGATATCCCCAGTTACAATCTGATTAATACTGAAAAACAACAAAAGACACCAAACTGAATAAAAATTGGATAATTTTACTCCCCCGTCTTGTCCGCCAAGCCAATCAACTGAAAACAGGACTTAAAGAAAATTGTTCTTGAGCATACTAGAAACGGTTGGTCAAAACAAGAACCATGAAATACTATCTCATGGTGTCAAAGCAGTCCTTTTGCAAATAGGACAACAATTCTTGCCCCTCAGCCACTTTCTGATGCAATCATAATGGAATTCATGGCCACAATCAAGTTGTCCAACATTGTCCCCGTCGCCAAAAGTATCCTATACACATCCAAAGAGGAAAGAATCAGGTTGCAAGCAAGCTTAAAACTGAGGAGGACAGCTGAAAAAGTCTGGTGCTCCTTACCAAGCATACACAGCAGGAGTCATTGCTATCGTTCATGTTGGTCGATTGATACTTGTGCTGCTTCAGAAGTGTAGAAATAACTTTCTTCTTCAATCCGGTGCTTGCATCTCCCATATGCTCTTCAAGTGCCAGCAATTCCTAAAATACAAACCACCCGTTATTTGATTGACTACTTTAAACCATATCACACATTCATGTATTGCGAATCATTACCTCATAAGATAGATTCTCAGTATTAACATGAATGGCACCCTGTTGAGCTGCCTCGTGTTCATCTTCTTCATCTTCCTGTAATTTTGAGCTCTCAGTAGCAATGACTCATTTTGCATACCGTCTTACACAAAATTGCATGAAAACATATGAATGGAAGTTCTACATTTCACTTTGTCTTACACCAGAGTATGAAGTAGCATATCTAACACGCAACAACTACGACAACAAACCCAATGTAATCCTATAAGTGGGGACTAGGGAGGGTAGTCAGTGGCGGAGCCACCTTACAAGAAGGGAAAAAATACACTGTGTAGGTAGGTAATTTTTTTTATATGTAGATATACTATGTATTGACTCCCCTTAATTTTTTTGGTATATTTACTTTTATATATTTTGACACTCAATGAAATTTCTGGCTCCGCCACTGAGGGTAGTGTGTACGCAGACCTTACCCCTACCCTATAAAGGTAGAGAGGTTGTTTCTGATAGACCCTCGCCTCAAGGAACTGTGAAAATAAAGCAACAAACAATAGCAACAACAATGTAATAGGGTAACAGAAGAGCATATCTAACATGAGAAGATTACTATTGGCAACCCTATTTTTATGAACCACAAGCTTTTAATGTTCTTAAATCGCCAATTGGAAATGAAAATAGTATTACTAACATAGTTAGGCTAAGCCGTTACAAGTTACTCATGCAAGCATCAATCATGCTGGCAACAAGTGTAGATGATATCTCCAAGTCTTAATTCACAAAATCTTATTTTCGCCAAATAACACTAAAATGAAAAGAGGTTGAATTGGCAAGTGAGATCACACTCCTTCCTTAAAATCATACTAGGTAAAGTATGCAGAATGCTGACCTCGATAACAATGGGTTGATCTCTGCGCCCCGGCTCCCTCACAGCACCAGCCTATGTGTTGAAGTTAATTGGGTGAGAGTCACCAATAATTATAAGAAAACAAAAAGTATGCTTCAGATATGCCAAAGGAAAAGAACAATGATAATCGAAGTGAGTATTAATTAATATTTCAAAAACAGTCAACAACGCGTAGATATTATGAACACAAACCTATTTACGTGCAGTAAATGCATGTTAACAGCCTATGCACAAGCAAACACTTCATAAACCAAGCCACATACAACACAATATCTAGGAAATTCATTGTAGAAAATTCAACCAGATAAGAAGGTAATATGTACCGAAAGGGGCTCATGCTATATGTATATATATACTCTCTCTAAAGCATCAGATGGAATAATAGGAGAAAAAAATCATAACTTGTAGACTGCATGATATTCAACATCTTAAAGAATCTATAAGTTTACTAAAAGCATAATAATTAATCTTTCTAAAAAAAAAAAAGGACGTGTACTAAAAGCAGGTAACCTAATCATAAAGTGAAGTATACTTTGATGCATAAGAACTTCAGATATAAACACATCAACGAGATGAAGTATCTCGGAAATATTGAATGCAGTGTGTACTTAGAAGGAGAGGGCGGATTGAGGGAATATTTTAAGGGAAAACTTTTCAGCACCAAAAGATGGATGGCTAAATAAACGAGAAAATCCATGTAGGAAAGAGAATGGATTGAAAGATCAGGAAATTAAGAAACTGAACAGCATTAAGTTATGATTGAAGAACTAACCGCAGACACCAGCCTATCTCTGTTATCAGCAGCAACAGTTTCCCCAATTACAAGGGGAAGTGGTGGAGGATGAATGTCATTGAACTCTGAGCGCCTTCTCAGAAAATCAGCAATTCTTCTTGTCCTCACTCCATTTGCTGTCAAATCTGTCATTGCACCACTTGAAGGCTGAATAACAGCATTAGATTGATATCTTGAAGCAGATGGAATATCACTATGGAAGTTTGTATGTTGCTCAGTGAACATCAAATCTGTAGTGTTTTCCACCAGAGCTATCCTTGAAGCTCCAGGAAAGTGTGTACTCTGAAAAGGTGGAGCTGTTGGAGCATGCCATAAGCCTTGCATTTGAAGAGAGCTCCCGGCATTATTTGCTCTAGGGACACGAGGAACTGAAGATGTCTCTGCAAAGCTTGAGTTAGTCATCCGGCGTACAGGTGAACTACGTGTCTGAATCAAAGGCTGGAGTCCAGCTGATGTCGCATTTAGCAGAGAGGACATCCTGCACGACGGAGTTGGTGAATAGCGCTGAGTATTTCCAGCAGATATTCCATGTAGGTCTATGCTTAGCTGACGCTCCGGAAGACCGAGGCTGGTATTTCTTGCGAAGTCACTCATAGTACGAGAAGTTCCAGACATGGAAATTCCTCCTGTTGTGCCCCTAGGAGCGATCTGGTTTGACTGAATAGGAACATGACGATTTCTTGGGCAATTGCTTGAGCTTGAGCTGCTGGAAGTGCTGTCACGTGCTTTTCTCTTTCTTCCGCAAATGCACTGCTGATTATGCATCACCTCATTTAGATCAAATCCAACTGGCCCATCTATCTCAGAGTCACCGCTGTCAGGAACATATGGAACATTCAGATCTATCATAATACGGATAGAATCAGAAGAAGAGCTTTCTGAATCAACTGATGTAGTCCCATTTGCAGCCAAACCAGTACCAACGCCAAGAGCGACTGGCGGGGCTGTAGCAAAATCATTGCTACCATTAGGAGTTCCGTTAAAGGCTGTATTTCCCGCATTGGAATTGTATCTCCCCATCTGAGAATGCGTAAGAAGTTATGTGGATTACTTCAAAAGGGCTAAACCACTCTATCACAGATAATTTACTGAAATTTCTCGCCGCACCTGAAATTTTACCACGAAATACAGTGTAAATGTCTATAAAACTGGCTCAAACACGACTTTGAAAAATGAAATTAATTACATTTCGTCATACCATAGTAAACAAGAATATATAGAAGGTACGCGCACAAAGAGAGAAATAAAAGTCGAAAAGGAAAAGGAAAAACATAGAAAAAGCTCTAAAATATGTGAAATCTATAAGTAAAACTCAAACGTACATCACTTCTATGTATGTCATTTGCAATGATGTAAGAACAAGTTCGATGTAAGTTTGAGTTAACAAGGATTCTAGAGCACACATAAGCTCTTATAAATTCCAAAAGTAAAACGACGAACAATCTCGTATTATCATTTCTAATAGTAGTACAATAGAGGGAGGGGATAAGATGGGTATAAGTTGTTTGTAGAACTAAGAAGAAGAATCAATATGAGTTGCTGCGCGCTGCACCATTGCCAAATATCAAGTCTTAAGCATTAGACATCCTCAAGTTTTCTTATTTTTTATGCACAAGAACAACATAACTATTTTCAGAATGCCCTTACGAGTACGTTGTCAGCAGGATATAACCTTCCATTTGTTTGAGACATGACATTGACTTCAAAAGAATGATATAGTTTTGGAAACTCAGCAATAAATAATCTTGCGTTACAGGAAATTAAAACGTTAACCGCAACATCTTCAGAGCTTATAGTTACAAGCCAAAACACACGCTCACATTTCTACTACCATCTAGGTCAGCTTCCCCCCACCTCCAACTCCACAAAACAACAACAACAAAAACAAAAACAACAAAACCAGTGAATTCCCACAGATGTACGCAGCCTTACCCAACTCCACACCAAAAAGGAAAAGATATAAAAGTAAAAGCGGTGTGCCTATAGTGTCACATTGAGGCTATTGATTATCAAGTTGACCAAAGATCAGTTAGGATATTAATTTCCAAATTAAACTTGAAGAATTTACGAAAACTGTAAAACACATGCCATGCAAAAGTTCACAAGAAAACCACTTGCCAAATAAAGAGCAAACAAATTTTAGGATGATTGTAGCAAACACACCATATAGAGACATTGAACAAAACTTCTCAGTAATCCGCAAACCACATAAAATTGACCATGGCAAATAAATCAAAACACTGAATTAAGCAGAGAACTGAAGTTAAAATTTTTTAGTAAGCTAAGACTGGATATACCACAAATCAGCCAACACCTTTGTTGCAGGAGCGTCTGAGAATCAACGGGTCTTGCCTTTGTGGCTGGTGTGCTGCAAGAAAAAAATAAGCAACTTTAGCCTCTATTCAATAAGTTTTATAATTGAGTCTCCACACAATATGCTAGAACAAAACAAAGATATGAAAACATTTCTAAAACAAATAAAAATGGAGAAGGAATTAAAGAAAACAAGGCAAAAAACACATAAAATTTCACACATGAAATATCAGAAACAATCATATTTGAGAAGTTTAAAACGTGAAAAATTAAGACCAAAGGAAGAACAGTAACACTAAAAATAAGCAGTAGACTAATTACCACATGATACGAATGATATCATTTTGATAACAAATGGAAAAGAAAAGAATGATCCACAAGCCTTATACAGCTAAAAGGAATGTATGGACCTTTTCTCTTCCGGCTTATTTAAGTGGTACACTTAACCTCTCGAGGGCAGGAGTGTAGGGAACAACCATGATTTGCCTCTTAGAAGCATAGACTAAAACTTATGGATCTAGTGGTATTAAAACCAACATGTGGTCTCGGCTTAAAAATTTAGATTCAAACAAGCAAGTTCATACAACTTAATGAGCACATCGAGCAGTGTCACGACCAAATCTGGTTACATGTTTTATGAGAATACTTTTTCAGAGATCAGACGATGAGAGCATCTGATTAAAACATGATTTCTCTCAAAAGGCGAGGTGGCCAAAGAATTGAATTTTGAAAACCAAATCATCTATCAAAGCCTTAAGGCACATGATGATAATTGACAAGCCAGTGGATTAGTCAAGATGCACACACGCTGCGCGACACATATGTTGCCAAAAAAACACGAAAGAACCAAAAATTCGTATTCAACTTGAAAACTCTTAATCTTTTTTCTGGAAGGGAGATTCTACCATAGCTCAAGCATTTAGGCAAAGGTGGAGTCGAGAAAACCTGGTGTTGTTTGGACTTACATCCTCTCTACCCCCCCCCCCCCCNCACACACCCAAAAACTTGCCAACTCAAGGTATAAAAATGATCTAGGGATGAATGACAGAACATTCATGACTTGAGACATCATCAGAAAACCAATTCTTGTTCCAAAAAGAGATGAAACAGGAAATAAATTAAATCCACAAAAACTCATCATAAACAAACCCGATACCTTTGGATTGGAGGTAGCAGGTATCCGATGGAATAATCGAGGTGCGCAGAAACTATCCCGGACACCACCATTATAAAAAAAATAATCATAAACAAGCAGGGTATGTACACATGCATGAAAACCAAAAAAACTGGTGCTAACCAATCATCAAGATAAACCAACAAGATCATTCTACTGACCCCAAAAAAAAAAGACAAAGAACCAATGAAAACCATAAACAAGACTCACCATTTCTTACAAGAAAGCAAAAAAGGAGAAATGTGTGAAAAATGAAAGGCCAAAGGGAGGGGGTGAATTTATACAAAAATTTAAGCAAGTGATTGTTGTGATTAAATTTCTCAAATTTAGAGAGTGGCAAGAAAATAATTACAACCTTTTCAAGAGTGTAACAAACCAGAGAGGAGCCTTGTGTATCACCAGCTGTATGCTGATGAAGCAGAGTAGTGAAACTGCCATTTTCTTCCTCATCAGCCACCATCTAGATTACATTTATCAGATTACATGAAATATGTTATTACTTAAAATGCTGTTAACCATTTGTCTTTTGCTTAACGATTCACTTTCCTTTGTTTGGCTTTTGCTGGGCTCATTGGTCTTTGCTCTTTTGTCCAGTAAATAAATGAATACTCCATCAATTTATTTAAGTTGACTCTAAATTTTTATTTTTATTTAAAAAAAAAACAATTAATTAAAGTTGACAAAAAATTATTAAAGTTGCTCTATAATTAAAAAAATTATTTCGTCATTAACAGTAGGGCTCAAGAGAACAAAGTTTAATAAAAGA